ATCATGACTAGTTGAAGGGGCGGTCTTATTTTGCAATTAAATTTATTGAGCAATCCCCCCAAAAATGTCATTCACATCTGGGACGAAACTAGAACAAATCGCTGGTAGTATGGAAGTATAGAATAAGCTTTGCCTGGTCGCATCCGAATATTCACGTGTATGATTTATGAAGCGTCTACCACACTGCAAAACTATGGAATAATTAAAAAAAATACTATCCCAGTGATAGGCCAACTCATTAAGTATTAGTGGTTTTTGTCTGTCTTAATGGCTAATACAAGTTCCCTTCACATAAGAATACGACGTTCACGTTGACGCAATCCACGGGACCTCTCCTTAGTTTAATTAGAAAACATCTGGGCTTTCGTATGTTATGTCACTTAAGAGAAGTCGTGAGAACTGGATATCATTCTAACAAAAACCTCAAGTTTGCACTGAACCAAGAAACTATGAAAACCAATTAGTTACGTGTACCCTGTGACCCACTAGCATCAGCAGTATTGTGGTGTAATAGTAGAATGTGGTAAACACATTATGCCCTATCCTAGTCCGACTCCCGTTAGGGCTGTTAATGAGACCCAGACGAGGTCGAAACTCGAGTCCTTCATGAATTAGAATACCTCTTGCGGAGGCAAAGCTAAGCAAAACTTAATGGCTTTGTAAAGCCAACTCATTTCATTTTGGGAAAGACTTCACTTTAGACAACTTGGGGTGATCAAGTTCTAATTAAATTATTTATTTAATTCCATTTCATTTTAATCCAAGTACTTCAATGTTTAAGTGTATATAAGCGTGAGTTTATAAAAGTCTAAGTTAGGCTGTAGAGTTATTAGAAATAGGTCGTAAGGTCAGCCCAGGTTCTCTGGCACAAGGAAAGGAGTTAATGCGAGGATGTACATTTCTAATCGAATTGATTAATTTGACATATACATCATGGAAGAATTAAATGACTGCAAAATAACGGGTACAGTCGTCGTCTTCTTGTGAGATCGCCCCTCAAATATCCTCTTTTCTACACTTTTACTTGAACTAAAAGTCAGAACAATACTCAGACTTCCGTCCCCAATTTCATTCATAACCTGGTCCATTCTAGTAAGAATGCTGGAGGCAAAGTTTATTTCTATAAAAACTCTGATCTTCTGCTTAGCTGTTGAATCTCCTGCTACGCCAGTTCCGATTTTTGCACACATACAAACCCTTGGAGGCTGTGTTATGATCAATCAACAGAAACACGTACTAACTCCCGATCTGCAGAAAGGGTCAGGAATTTTCTGAAAAGAAGCGACAGTTAAATAAAGTGCTCATTTGCCCTTACAAATTCTTTGTATATATTTTCTGAAAATATAGACAGCATCAAGAACTGAGAAGAGTCGATCAATTCCATGTTTTCCCTCAAATAGCCGTCTATTAATATTGCGAGTATGGTTGGTAATATATTACACAAATTTATAATATGTTTATATTACCTTATCTTATATTATTGGTGGTATTATTATTTGCTTAACATTATTCCTAGGGGTCATTTGTCCTGACAAAGACTGAATTCCAATTATTAATTTGTAACTTCATAAGTATAGAAGAGACCAGCGTTTATGGGTTTCCTGACCACAGATCTATTCGTTCCATCTTTGGCTGTATCTGTATCAACTGTAACGTTCATTCATATGACGACTTACCTGTTGAGCTGGCTTTCCTCTCGAGATGAGAGATGCAGTGTAGCGATGGAGAATTCTGCGAGGTCTACCAGAGGAGGCCGCCTTGTGGACTGTATCAAACGACGACCGGTCAACTCAACGACTATACATGACGAGAATCTTCGAAAACCGGTCACTCTTCACACCAACACGCGAGTAGCAACACACGGTTCAGACATGCTTGGGCTAGCGCGTCAGTCACAAGAACAACCTACTCACGATGAGTATAAGTAATATATGCGAGTGTGATGTCAAAATACAAGTTTCTCTCATCGACGACCAGGTCACAAAAAATGATGTGAGCCATACCCGGCTCGCCCTACACCTACATGCTTGAGATAAAAAGTAATCTGTACATTTGATGTATAAAGAAGGTCTTGAGACTACTCGTAAATCAAGTAGATGAGATGTATCACCCTATTTCGCTGCTAGTTGAATTTTCACACAGTCATATGAATGGAGTTGACGCTTTTATCTAATTTCACAAAAGGTCTTCTCATCCAGGCTGAAGTGGACTGCAGTTTCGGCCTCGCCTGGGTCTTTTCAACACCCCCAGCGGGACTCGAACCATGACAATGCAGCGTGTAATCACCTTCAATGCCGCAGAGCGAATACATCCCATACAAATATGCAATTCTCAGGCCAGATCTACCGGCGGTATTGAAACCTAGCCGTCCAGCTGACCGCTCCGGAGATCGGCTTGGCTTCGGCACAGTAGTTAAGACGTCTCGGTGGCCAAGGCGACGCTATTTGGCCGTCCGTGTAGTCGGCGCTTGTTGAATTCTCCGACGGCGGACACATCCGCTCACCTTCTCGTAGGGTCGTACGCCGTTTGACTAATTTAACGCCCGAGTCGAGCTCACAAATCGATAGTCACGATCAATAAACTGAGCCGAATTGTGCTTGCCTTGCTTGGCCCGTCTTTGGCCTATGCCAAAATCCGAGCTGCCCAGTTGTTCACGCGGCTCGGATAACCTGCAACGGCCCTGAAGCGTGCTTCGGACTGACCGGCCCTTCCCATTGGCTGAGTGGGCTGGCCAATCAGCGAATAGCCTGACGATTACAATTATGCTAACCAGATACCATCCAGCTCCTCTGGTGCCGGGGTAAATAGTCGAGTCATAGGCGTGCGGATTTATGCGGATGTTTCGCCGGTTTTTTGTGCTTTAACCTTCTTCGTCGGAGCCATTTAAATTATTGTCCTCATAAGCCTACTTCTCACCCTTCCCTCTCGCTCGTCCACACCACAACTCATGCCCACACACACTCCCCAACTTGTGACGTTTTGAGGGCAAAACATTTGCCTTTCATTGCTCGTTGATACCGCCAACACCACCCAACACCACCCAACACCTGCATGCCACCCTTTTCCCGGTTTGATGTTGAGTGTCGTTAGCGTGAATGTGTGGATTCTGTTGAGCCGGTTGACGCTTCGGTTCAATCCCTTTCCGATACCCATACTTGCATGTCGGGGTACCAGTGCATGTGCAAGCCTTGCAGGATCCTGGCTCGGATTCTCTGACTCTGTCTTACGCTTGAGCTGGTCGGGCGAAAGTTTCGCCTCCAGGGCCTTAGTGCCATGCTCGTCTGCCGTGGGTGTTTTGTAAGCCCCCTCGCCATAAAATAATACATCTTGCAGCCAAAATAGCCACAATGAAGACAGCACATCAAGCCGATGGTGTCGACGTGTCGGAGTCGCACGAGACTTGGTCAATGTGCCCACGGTTGTCAGGGCCGCCGCGAGCCTGGCTTGGCCCAACCCGAGTAAGTCGGCTCTCGGACGCCCCGATGAGGACGAGGCGACTGCTGCTCTTCTTCCTCCTCCACCTTTTATTGTGGCCCAAAGCATTTGCTTTTTGCCCAGGCTGTACCCGGAAAGGAAGTGAGTATCTAAGGCGTGTCTGTCGCATTTTTTTTTCAAATAACCATATTTTGCTTCGACGCATTTTTCTCTATTTTGTTTGCAAACTGGCGTTTTTTGCATGCCTTACAAATGGTGTATTTTTTGAACAGGACACAAGAGCATAATTTTAGAACGAGCTATGCGTATTCAATTAATTGTTGAGCTCTGCTGAGGTGCTTATTTGGCCGGCTCATCAGAGACCCGACAGTACCATTTGCCCTTACTTTCTACCTTGTCTATGACGTCTCCACAACCACCACGTGCTGTTTCACCTCGTATCCATTCACTTGGTTGCTGCAATTTGGAGAAGAGCGTCATTGCATGCAGACCTTTCAATCATTGGGTTGATTTGTCTTGGTACCAAGCGGTTATGAATGCACTTAGACTGACGAAACTTATTGCACCTTGTCTCTGAGAGGATGTTTGTGTACAGGGACTTGGATCTTGTTTAACAATAATGGCAAATACACAAATGCATTCATACTGCTGAGCTGAGAGAGACCAGACTCGCCCTGTATGTCGCGTCTGTCCTGCGACACAGGGGCACAGTGGAGTGTTACCTTTGCTACGATACTGATAGGAGATGTATTCACCATATTTCGTTTAAGGTAGCCTGGAAAC